TTGCTATAATTATTTCTATTATTATTATTATTATTATTATTATTTATTATTTCCTAATCAGGTTTGCCTAATTTGTTCGGCTAGCTTCCACATCTTCAAATGCCATTCACCGGAGATGTATAGGAAATTCTTAAACATTGATCTCTTTGGCATATCGTTGGGTTCGGAAATTATAATATAATTATTAATAATTAATATAATATTAATTATTATTATTATTGCAATAATTATTTTAATAATAAATATGATTTTATTAGGCTTAGTGGGGTGCTATTTTCCTGGTTTGTATCTCGGCTTCTTATGTTTTCAAGTATTATTCTTTATTCTTTTTCATTGATTGACCATTTGAATGAATTGTTGAATGAATGAGTGAGTGAGTGAATGAATGAATGAATGAATGAATGAATGAATGAATGAATGAATGAATGAATGAATGAATGAATGAATGAATGAATGAATGAATGAATGAATGAATGAATGAATGAATGAATGAATGAATGAATGAATGAATGAATGAATGAATGAATGAATGAATGAATGAATGAATGAATGAATGAATGAATGAATGAATGAATGAATGAATGAATGAATGAATGAATGAATGAATGAATGAATGAATGAATGAATGAATGGACGAATAAACAAACGAACGGACGAACGAACGAACGAATGAATAATTGAGCAAACAAATAAATTAGAGACAAAAAACAATTTCCACAATTCAGAGCTGGCAAAACTTGTACATGTTCTTATTAGTCCTCATCTTGATGGCGTTATTTTACTGGCATTGGAATTTAGGTGCCCTAGATAGCCAAAAATTCGATTTTGTTAATAATAATTCTTTGTATCGTTATCACAACAATATCAACAACATCAACAACAACAACAACAACAACAGCAACATCAACAACAACACCGTAATAACTAGCTATAACATAGTTAATAATAATAGCAACACTGACATTGGAATCAGCAAAAATCACATCAACAACAACAACACTGATTACATCAACAACAACACTGATTACATCAACAACAGCAACAACAGCAATGACGTTATTGACAGTAGCAGCAGTAACGACAACGCTCCCTGTAATGGGATTTTTAATAGTTTCACTCATAACGAAGGGATTTCCAATAGAGTTTATAACACTAATGACAGGAACGACAATAACAATAATTATAATTATTACAACAGTAATAATTATAATTGTAGTAATAATTATAATGACGAAGTGTTGATTTTGATAGAGAACGAATTCGATACTGATAAGTTCGTCTATTTGAATCATAGATACAACAGCCTTTTTGATCAAAACAACAACAACAACAACAACAATAATAATAGTAATAATAATAACAATAATAATAATAATAAATTGATCCGCTGTTGTGGTTGTTGCTCTGGTCCGATAATATTCTACGGCATCCTTTCGGTATTCAGCGTCGTTCCTTCTATACATTGGGTCTATCTGAATGGCGGGCTTGGTTCAGCTTTCGTCCAGGTACTATTATTATTATTATTTATTATTATTATTATTATTTATTGTTGTTGTTGTTATTATTATTATTGTATTTATTTATTTTTTTCATTAGTTTTTTTAATACTATTTCATATTATTACTGTTTCTTGGGCATTTAAATTATTGTCACATATTAGATATGAGCACATGGATTTTAATCTACGCTCATTATTAAATTTAAATGTTATTATTATTGTTGTTATTATTATTGTTATTGTTGTTTTTGTTTTTAATATTATTCAGTTATAATTTTAATGTGGCAGGAGTTCGGCTTGAAAATTATGATCCTCTACATTCTGCTCGCACTGGCCTTCTCGTTCTACATATCGAAATTTCCCGAGAGGTTTTTTCCAGGTTATTGTTATTCTTTTTATTAATTTATTATTATTATTGTTGTTATTTTTATTAAAATAAAATTTTTAAATTATAGTTAATTATTTTATTTAACTACCCATATAGGCCGTTTTGATTACGTTGGCTCCAGCCATCAGCTCTGGCATATTTTTATCTTTCTTTCATTTCTATGGTGGTACGATTGCGGGGTTAAGTTGTCTATGCAATTATCGACCAACGAAAACTGTTGATTCTTTGTTGTTTGATTCTTTGTTGTTGATTCTTCGTTTGTTAATTCTTCGTCTGTTGATCCTTTGTTGTTGATTCTTTGTTGTTGATTCTTCGTTTGTTAATTTTTTGTTGTTGATTATTTGTTGTTGGTTTTTTGTTTTTGATTCTTTGTTGTTGATTCTTTGTTGTTGATTCTTTGTTGATACATTATGGACCCCTCCAAACGTTTAGATGAAATTTTTAATTTGAAATTTGTTGCTGCGAACTGGCCGATGATAATAATGTAATGTGTCTTATTCCAATGATTTTTTTATTTTTTATCCATTTGTTCGTTTTTTCGTTTGTTTAGTTCATTCATTCATTCATTCATTCATTCATTCATTCATTCATTCATTCATTCATTCATTCATTCATTCATTCATTCATTCATTCATTCATTCATTCATTCATTCATTCATTCATTCATTCATTCATTCATTCATTCATTCATTCATTCATTCATTCATTCATTCATTCATTCATTCATTCAATCGTTCGTTTATTCATTCGTTCATTCATTCGTTCGTTCGTTCATTCACATTTTTTAGTATTATCATCTAGTTTCTTTTGTTCAGTATTCCATAACATACTCACTGATCGTCTGTGTGACTACTCCATATTACGACAGCATATAATATATAAATACAGAAAGAGAGAGATAGAGAGTGAGAGAGAGAAGGAGAAAAAGTTTATCGTTATTATTATAATTTTACAGTGTTTACTTAAGATTGATTGTATTGTTAGTTTTATCTTTTGGCTTCAAATTATTAATATTTATATATAATATATTAAAATATGCAATTTGTAAATATTTTTATTTATATCGTAACTTTTTATTTGAATCGTTTTGCAGTTTCATAACAAAACCTTTGCTTTTGGTGTGATAATATACTAATAAAAGATATCACACAAGAACACATGAACATGCACACATACATACATACCCACATGTACTTTGTGATTCTCAATAATTGGCTACAATTTTTGACTGCTGTTACCAAATTTTGTAACATTTCGATTGAATAAAAAAAATCTTTAGATAAATCTACCTTATTGTTTTGTTTTGTGTGCGTGCGTGTGTATGTCTGTGCGTGCGTGTGCGTGCGTGTGTATGTATGCGCGTGTGTGTTTGTTTGTGTTGTAATATTATCGAGACAAATGATCTTAAGACAACATATCTATCGACAATCAATCAATCAATTAGTTTATAAAGCGCTATTTCCGCGATGTTCAACAGCGCTCCTCAATGAATTTCACAAACGGATGGGTCTTGAGATCCGCTCTGAATTTCGTAAGTGATGGAGAAGTAGTCAGAGAAGGGGGATGAGAGTTTCAGAGAAAAGGGCCAGAAAAAGCTAAAGCTGAAGTTGAATTTTTTGAAGAAATTTAATTGTAAGAGGTTTTATAAGATCGCCTGCCAAGGAAACGATATATACCACCTATGTGACGTCTGTTACCTGGCCAACACGACTTGTTTAGAAAATATTTCAAAGATGAATGCGCCAAAAATGAAAAGGTCCGATCCAGATTCGATAGATTTTACAAAATTACCGACAACATAACGGGCAAGGATGAGATCCCGATCCCGAAGTTGACGCAAATCCCGGAATCTCTTCTCGAAGTTAAGTTCGTCATGAAGCACAATTTACCGTACTTCCAAAACGACACTCAGGCACATCCATGGAATACAATGATCGGATCGGTGGGTGGGATGTTGTCTCTATGGCTTGGGATCACCGTCGCCAGTGGGGTGGAGGTCATTGAGTTGGTCTATTTACTCTTTAAAGGCTGTTGGGAGAATTTGAAACTAAGCTCGAAGGCTGCTGATAAGAATAATAAAATCAGTGTTATGACTGATTGAATGTATGGATTTACAAGAGAAAGAGCAAGAGAGAAAGAGAGAGAGGAGAGAGAGAGAGAGAGAGAGAGAGAGAGAGAGAGAGATAAATAAGTTGCCTAATTTTGACACTTTCAACGTGAAATACATTGATTAGTTGTTGGATAATTTTTATCTAAACATACACTCCAATAAGCCGCTCAAAATAGAAGTGTTACTATAACATTTTTTGGTGTTAACAAGGCGCGAGATTCTGATCATATCACTCTTGTCTTTATTATATTTGAGTAATACTATGTAAATATGTTTGTGTAAAAATGCATCTATGTTTGTATGTGTGTGTATGTGTGAATGTATGTGCGTGTGTGTTTTTAAACACATATTTGAATGATGTTTGTGTATAGGCCTAAAAAACTTGATTAGCAATAAATTTAGCGTTAAGAATGAAGAAAATGGGAAGGATGATAAATTAGTTTCAGGGTGTGTGTTTCAATACCTGAAGGTAACCTGTGCAAATACAACTGTCATAAAGAGAGTCTCAATAATTAAAGATTTTTTTTTGTAGAAATTATTTTAGTCATTTGTTTTAAAATAAATTTAAATTGAATTATGTTTGGTAGAAATTCTACTAAATAAAGTTTTTATTTCAAAAATCTCATTGGATAGAAATTCTTGTTATGTCAATATAAATATATATATATATATGGATCTATTTGTTGTTATGTATACACGTGTGTGTGTGTATACACACAGAGGTATGATTTATAAAGAAGAAGATGTTACGTGCCTTATAGATTACAATGAGTTTAGATTTAAATAGATATTTTAAAATAAATTGAAAATTTTAAACTTTTCTCTAAACCTCAACACTTACAAGAACTATAATATCAACATTGATAACACAAACAACAACAACCAATAACGTTAAAAATACTAAAAAACAACATTAATAACTCTAATACCAACAAAAATAACATCAATAAAAAGCGTTTTTATTGTGATGGAACCGATTAAATCCGAACTCCTAAACTATGGCAAGACGACATCGATCCGGGGAATACCGAAGTTTATCAAATCGACCGACAGGTTTCTCAAAATGGTTTGGCTGCTGTCCTTTGTCGCTTCACTGGCTGTCATGATCTACTTGCTGAAGATCTCCTTTGATCAGTACAGTATGAGGCCTGTCACTACTAAGAATGGAGAGAAGGTTAGCTCCGTGTGGTGTGTGTTTGTGTGTGTGTATGAGAGAGAGAGAGAGAGAGAGACAGAGAGAGGAGAGAGAGAGAGAGAGAGAGAGAGAGAGAAATAATTTGCTGATAACACAAATCATTTTTACTCATTCTGATCTCATATAAGATAATTTTGCTACTAAAAACTTGAAAATTATAAAATAAGTTTTCGTTTAAATGTCAACAGGTAGACCAGAAGATATCCTTCCCCGACATAACGTTGTGCAATTTGGATCCATTTGCTGAGGGAGAGCCAAAAGAACTTTCCATGAAAAATTATTCCCTTCTGATCGAAGAGTACGAAAATTTTGCGCTAAAAAAATTAGACGATTTTATGGTCGAAAGAAATAACTTCTCAGCGCCCAAAGGAAAAATTCGGAGCATCATGGAGGAGTTGGAGTCTGTGTCGGGATATGTCATCAACTTGAAAAAAGATCGCCCGGAATCTGAAGACTGCCCGAGTTTCATCGTCGAATGTGACTTCTACGGAGCTGACTGGTTCGAAACTGAAGAACCATGCCAATTTCACAAGACGTTGGAATGCGAATTATTACACATGCTACGTGCTGAAGACTAAAAAGTTGATCATTTCTGACTCAACAATCGTTAGAGGATTGAGCGTCTTGCTGAACGTTGGGCCACCCAATCTCATACAAGTCTCTTACAAATCTTCACTCACAAACTCACGGGCCAGGGGGGTCCAGGTGAGCGTGCACAGTCCAGGGACTCCCCCGGATCTCAAACGGGGGTTCAACGTCGCTCCCGGGACTGAAAACATCGTCGATATCGTTCAGACGGAAAAAATACGGCAAGATAAAGCCAACAATAAGTTTGTATGTTGGGAAAAATTAATTTATTGATATAATATTTCAAGACATTCATTTTGAAATTAATCATTTAGATTGTGCGGCACTCAAGAGAAGATAACGCCCTACTGGTATAAAATCAAGTACAAGCGAGATCTCTGTGAGGAATACTGCCTGCAGTCGTTGATAAAGAGAAGGTGTGGCTGTATGACGCATCAGCTCAACGTGCCTGATAAGGACTTCAAAAACACAAGACTCTGCGGGAACTTCAGTCTGAATGGAAGTTTAAACAAGTCAGAACTTGAAGAAGAAATTGTGGAAAAGTTCTACAACCTGGTCTGCTCGTTTGTTCATGTTTATCCCCAAGATGAGAAAGATTGTCATGAAAAATGTTTGATTGCTTGTGACGAGATGTCATACGATTTCTACGTAGCCTCGGCGACCTGGCCACAACCATCAGTCCAACTTGACCTCTTCACCAAATTCATCCAAAACTGCACCGACACAAATCCCAAAATACGGAGCAGATACAACAGCTACTTGCAGTACTACAAAAGCTGCAGCAGCAACAGCAGCAGCGAGTGCACCGACGACATCCCCATCTCAAACTTCACTCAAATCCAGGAATCCTTATTAGAAATAAAATTCGTAATGAAACAGAACTTTCCATACTACCAGTCAGAAAACTTCACCTATACCTGGGAAATGATGATTGGAACAGTTGGAGGTATGTTGTCACTCTGGCTTGGTGTAACCGTGGCGAGTGCAGTAGAAATCATCGAGTTAGTATACCTCTTGGGTAAGCTCTGCTGGAAGAATAACAGAAACTTAACTCACACAACTAATGTCGCCGTTAATTGTAACCTGGGTGTCTGTGAAGTTAGTGATAAAAATGGCACTGATTCCAATAAGAGTTTGTCTAATTCTAATTCATCTGAGGGTTATTGATGGCGTAATGGCTAAGGTTCAAATGCAAAGAGATTCACGCCCGTCACGTGCAATGTGTGTGTGTGTGTTTGCAGAACTGATTCACGTGTGAGAGAAAATTCTAGATTAGGTGAACTTTATTTTTGGAATAAGTTAAAAGAGGTTTTCAAATTATTCTTTTGATAGTTTAATTGTAAATTAACTTTCTGCCCGATGTATATTTCTGTAGAGAATCTATTTATTTGTCTTCTATTAAACTTGTGACGATTAGCAATTGAATGAAATGTTTAAGTCATAATTGAGTCACTCGAATCTGTTTGTGGACTTAAGATGAAATAAAATTTGTATATTTTTCATCAAAATTCTCGAAATATTCAACTAAAATCAATTAAAATCACTCTCAACTAATTTTTTCTACTTAAGCGAACCAACAACGACTCGTGAATAATTGTTTATCTGGGCGACGTCTGCAATTGAACCCCGTGAGTTAGTGTCACCGACATTTAAAAATAGTTCAACACCCTGAGTGAAACAAATTTAAACAAAAAATGAAATAAAAAAATCTAGATGTAGCGATGCGCCTGACGGATCCAACTTCCTTCCTAGCCAAACAGACCGTTAAAAAGTTCTCAGAATTTTGTAATAATAACAATAAATTATATAAAAATGATAATGACAACATTAATAATAATAACAATTCTATCACATCAAAGACTATTTTTAAATCTCCGATTTTGATTTTTAAAGAATAATAAAAAAAAAGAAAAAAAAGAGATACACCAGAATCAATGCGGCAAACAAAGGACACGAACCTACATAGCATATTCTCAAAACGATTTTGAGATTTTTATTTATCTAGCGCCCTCTTGAGTGGCTTCAAAGACAATTGTCTTTGATTTTGTCTTTGTCTTTTTGTCTTTGTCGTCAATTTTGATTTGTATAGCGTTGCTTTAACGAGCAAAACAAGCCAGACATGATTCGAATACATACATGTGTAACAGACGAGAACCTCTTTGCTGTTTAACCCAGTGACACCAGAGTAGAACCAAACACATCACCATATCACATCACCATACTGCAATGATAAAATAAATGATTATAGATGAATGAATAAAAATAATTTGCGCCCCATTCAACTCAAGTCGATTTTGTATGTTTATTATGTATGTATGTATGTATGTATGTATGTATGTATGTGTGTGTGTGTATGTAGGTATGTATGTGTGTGTGTGTGTGTGTGTGTGTGTGTGTGTGTGTGTGTGTGTGTGTGTGTGTCAGAATCAGAAATTTCAGAATCATTTGATTCAATCAAACAATACAAAAAAAATGTATGAATATATGTGTGTATGTATGTGTGTATGTATGCATGTATGTATGTGTGGTGTGTGTATGTTTGTATAAATGTATACATATGTGTATGTAGGTATGTTTTTTATGATGATATTATAATTATAAATATTTATAATAAATTCCTACATAATAATTACACTGTGTGTATGTGTGCAAATGGGTGAGGATCATTAATTATTGATTGTGATTCCCTTTTATTAGCAACAGGTGGATGTATGTATTATGTGTTTGTTTCGTTACTTATTTTGCTGTGTGTGTGTATGGGTGAGTGTGTGTGTCTGTTGGTCTCTTATTTATCTATCTCATTAATGTTTATATTGCCTGTTATAGTCGATAAAAACGGTTTTTTGAAAGCATTCATTCGTTCGTTCGTTTGTTCGTTCATTCATTCATTCATTCATTCATTCATTCATTCATTCATTCATTCATTCATTCATTCATTCATCCATTCAGCCATTCATTCATTGCCTTTGTTTAGCTTTCTCTTTCATATAGTTAATTGCCACTTAGACATCCGTACCTATTCGAACTGTTTGATAGTAAATTGTTTTTCATTTTAGACAGTCAGTTAGATCCTTTATTGATTTAGTAATTAAGTTTTGTCAGCATGTTACATATTTTAGTTTAAGAATGTTTTTTTTGGTCTTAAGGTTTAAAATTTGATGAAATCAAGTATGATGATTGAAAAAATTGTCTCCTAATTTGTAGCTATTTTGGGCATATTTTTTCTTGATATGTTACATGTTGTTTTTTAATTTTGGTTAAAATTTAGGATAATAATTTTCAATCATATAAATAAAATTATATAATCATTGATGATTATTATATAATCATCAAGTAAATTACCTTCAAAACGATGTATTATTACGAGATAATCTTGAAAAAATCGTTAACTTAACATGTAAGTATGTATGTATGTAAGTAGGTTTGTATATATGTGTGTATGTATGTATATATATATGTATGTATGTTGGTATGTGTGTGTGTGTGTGACACCTGTAGTCTATTAATTCATAATAAATTATCGTAATATAACAATAACATCTTTTTAGATTCTTGGATAACAACTTGCAAGACGTTTATCTTATCTAACCACAGAAGAAAGAAAGGAGATTGTGATTGGTTGATTGATTGATTGATTGATTGATTGATTGATTGATTGATTGATATTGATTGATTGATTGATCGATTGACTGATTGATTAAATGAATGAATGACCGATTGATTGGTAGATAACGTTGAAGAGATGGTGATTGAAGCGTTGAAAAGTGAACTTCTAAAATATGGAGAGAACACTTCAATCAGAGGAATTCCGAAATTTTTCAAATCGAAAGATATCTTTCTGAAAGTTCTATGGCTCGTTTTTTTCATCACGTGCACTGCAGTTCTGATCTACCTTCTGATCACGTTATTTAATAAATTCTATACCTGGCCCGTCACTACAAAGTATGGAGAGAAGGTTGGTTTTTTGTTCGTCTGTTTGTCTTTGTTCGTCGGTTTGTCTTTGTTCGTCTGTTTGTCTCGGTTCGTCTGTTTGTCTTTGTTCGTCTCTTTGTCTTTGTTCGTCTCTTTGTTTTTGTTCGTCTGTTTGTCTTTGTTCGTTGTTTGTTTGTTTGCTTTGTTTTTTGTTCGTTCGTTTGTTTGAGTTTGTTTTTTTTAAAAAACCGTTTTCTTAGTTGAGCTTTATTTTTATATGGAAGTTTCATGAATGTAAAATTGATTTTAATGAAGAGTTGTGGAATATGTGTTTGAAATTGTGTGCGTGAGGTGGGAAATTTGTTGAAGGTGGGCTAGCAAAAATTAATTGAAACAATTTTGTGCCGACAGGTCGGCCAACCATTAACCTTCCCGGACATAACGATATGCAACTTGGATCCACTGGCCGAAGGGGAGCCTGACTATTTGAAAATAAATGAATATTTAACATACGTAGAAAATTACAAGCAGGACATTTTAAATTACCTAGAAAATGCGAATATTACAGGAGATGACTCGTCGTTCGCGGAGGTCAGAAACATGTTTGACGAGATTTTTTCGGTCTCCGGTTACATCATAAACTTGAAGAAGACTAGACCGGAATCCAACGACTGTCCGAACTTCATTGTCGATTGCAGTTTCTTTGGTTACAACTGGTTTCAAACAGACGCCATATGCACTGCTGAAAACTTCACGAAACGCTGGAATGCCAACTATTACACTTGTTACACTCTGAAAACGAGTAGTCTGCTAAACATTTCCAGCTCAAATAATATTAGAGGTCTGAGTCTGATTTTGAACCTGGGTCCTCCGAGCCTCATACAAGTCCCTTACAAATCCTCACTCACAAACTCACAAGCCAGGGGGGTCCAGGTGAGCGTGCACAGTCCAGGGACTTCTCCGGATCTCAAACGGGGGTTCAACGTCGCTCCCGGCACTGAGAACATCGTCGAAATCGTTCAGACGGAGAGATCGCGTCTGGACAAACCGCACAATAGGTAAGTTTTTTTGCTGTAAATCCGCTATTTAGTTCTTAATTGCTTTTTAAAAATAGATCCCTTTGATATTTAATTTTTTTTGCAGATTGGGGTGCACAAATGAAAGAAACATGCTCTTTTCACCAACCGAGAAGTACACATCTGACCTGTGCGTTGAATACTGTATACAAGAATTGATCAACAAAACGTGCGGCTGTGTGACGCACCTCCTAAGCGTTCCTGAAAAATATATCAGTGATACAGATCTGTGCGGGAATTTAACCATCTACGAATACTCGGACAATAGAACTGATAGGGCAGTGTTTGGCTTATACTGTTCTCTGAATAATTCTGATGAGGACAAAGCCAGCTGTTTTGAGAACTGCCTGATGCCTTGCATGGAAATAAAGTACGACTCCTTCGTGACATCAGCTTCCTGGCCACAACCATCTGTGCAGATCAATTTGTTCCGTGAATACTTTGATAGAGACAACGACAGCTGCGTAGAAAAAAACCCAAAAGTGAAAGAGAGATACATCAACTACCTGAAGTTCATGAGTGAGGATAGAACTGAAGACGTCCCACTCTCAAGTTTGACGCAGATCCAGGAATCTTTACTGGCGATAAAGTTTGTAATGAAGCAAAACTTCCCTTACTACCAATCTGAGAATCCTGCATACACGTGGGACGTGATGATTGGGACTGTTGGTGGGATGTTATCCCTGTGGCTGGGAATCACTGCAGCAAGTGGGGTGGAAATTATCGAGTTGGTCTACCTACTCTTTAAATGTTGCTGGAATAATAAAAAATCTAGCACCGACTTTAATACAAATAATAATAAAGTTAATAACCAACAAAGCTCCAATGGAATATCATCTGAGAATCATCTTCAGACTAGGATTTAATTTTTAACAACTAGCACTTCTCTGATAACAGCTACAGTCTATAATTATATAGAAGTATAGGATATATTCAATAATATTTATACATTAAGTAATGAATGAATAACTTCGGTACCTTTATTATCATAGACATCAACAGTCTAATTTATTATGCATTTATACAAAAGAAATTATTTCTATGCTTATGTATTTAAATTCACTTTTGATTTTACCATAGCAACGCTTGTACTCTAAGTGTCTATCAATTTTTTTTACCAAAATTGTCCAAATTAGCGCTTATTTTTGAATAATTAATCAAAAAATAATTGATAATTAAATGATTTATGCTAAAAATTATTTTGAGAGTTGTTTATTTTCAAGTGAAATCAAATGTAAAACATTTTTTTCACAAGCATTTTTTTCACCGGGGAAACTGTTCAGTAGTAATGGGACAAGATTTAATTTTAATACAATTTTCGAAATAAAATTAAATAAAAGTTGGAAATAAATGAAAAAATAATAATAACAATTATATAATAGATAATTAGAATGAACATTTTACCGCACTTTTTGCTGTGAGATTGGGTTAGTTAGAGTTAGTTAGACATTTGAGTGTTTCTCTGTGCTGTGCTGATGATATAAATTCCTTAAGGCTTAATGGATAACAAAAGCGTAAAACTGAATCCGCCATCTTTTTTCACCGGACAGAAAACTGGTTAGAGAGAATAGAATAATTTTTTGCTCATTTTTAATTTTTTATCACTAAATATTAAATAATATAGATTTGTAAACCTGAATTTTTTTTAACTAACCTCAATTGTAGAAAAATAAATTAAAAAATTAATAAAACCAAATCTTTCTTATTTAGAAATCGAGTTTTTTTTCAATTTTCTACAGAGTTACTGACGCCAAAAATGTTTGCAAACAGCAACATCCATGGTTGTTGTGATATTAATGGTGACGATGATAACCTACTGATACCTCGGTGTAAATTTGCAGTTTTTTATTGACAATTTTATATTAATTAATTAATTAATTAATTGGTTAATTAATTAACTGGTTAATCTTTTTTCATTATTTATTTTTCTCTGAATTAATTTATTTATCTTAATTTTATTGGGTTTTTTGTTAAATTTAGCACTGACAGAAAATTTGCCAACCAGTCAGATGAAATGATTATTTTTAATGATTTCTTTTCAAACAACAACAACAGCAGCAACAACAATAATAATAATAACAATAGTAAAAATGATATGTTTGAAAAATTCAAAATTATGGAAAGACAAAAAGATTGCGAAATTAAGAGACTTAAAAATGATCTGGATGAAGTTTTGTTGAAAAGCCAATCTAAGGTCGGTAATTGTTATTTTCGTTGTTATTACTACTGATACTTTTATTTTGGTTTTCCATCCATTCGCCCACTCATTCGCCTATTCATTCATTCATTCACCCACCCATTCATTCATTCATTCGTTCATTCATTTATCAAAATCAAATATACCGTCTGATTCAATAAAAAATATTAATAACAATAACGACAACAGATTAGAGAAATGGCCGAAGAGAGAGAGGAATTGTTATTGTTACTGGAGAACGAAAGATCAATGAAAAACGAATTGAAAAGATTTTTGAGAGATAAGGAGGAAGATATGAGGGTGGCTGACGACTTGATGAGGTATATTGACACGATGATGATGATATTAATAACCATAAAAAAAATAATTATAATATTAATAATTATAGTAATAATTAGGGATGCACCGGATTCAGGTTTTTCAAATCCGGCCGGGGCCGGACTTAGCCGGATTTAAAATTCAAAAACCGGCCGGGGCGGGAGCCGGGGCCGGATTTTAGTTGCCATTTTACATACGTTAGAAAAAATACTCACATTTACGGTTATCTACATGTTGAACATCAAAAAATAACACCAAGCAAATAGTTAATTAATTCAAATATATAAATAAGCTATGTGATACGCCAAATTTTGTACACAAAGATCAGCTTATAACTTATGCATAACCCATGTTATAGCATAAAAAAAATTGTCCAGCCCACCTCACAATTAGTGATGTTGTAATTATGTGTCATATATGCCTAGCCTAACCTTTAACATACCATGTTCTTAAATTATGCGCTTATGTATCTCTATGTGATCCGTCATTTAAAATTATATAGCATAAACACGTGCACAAGTTCTTTTACACAAAGATCAGCTTATAATTTATGCATAACCCATGTTATAGCACAAAAAAAATTGTCCAGCTCACCTCACAATTAATGATGTTGTTATTATGTGTCATGAATGCTTAGCTTTTAACTTATTGACAAGCAATTAATTGAATTCAATGAAATTTTTTTTCTATTTATAACATTTTTAAACGTCGATAGAAGCGTAAAATCCGGCCACCAAATCTGGCCGGGGCCGGATTTGAAAAAAAGCCGGATTTTGACCGGAGCCGGGGCCGAACTTTGGTGCATCCCTAGTAATAATAATAATAATTATTATTTATTGCAACAGAAAGCTCGAAGAAGATCTCAAATCAACCAAAAACATCCTAGAACCTACAAAATTAGAAAATGAAAATATGAAGCTAAAGTTAAAGGTACTATTATATTTGTTCTAGGCAATATAAAGCGCTATATGAGTAACGTACAGCGCTTCACAAATGATCATATAGCGCCACAATTTATTTTTAATTTACTAACTGTCAATCAAGTCTATGGAGGATCATATGGTGAGATTGGAGAGAGATAACGAGTTAATGAGGGTGAAGATGCTGACGTTGACTGACATAATGAATATGCAAGATAAACAGATACAGGTATCATTCATTCATTCATCCATTCATTCATTCACTCGCTCATCGTTTTTTCTCCAACAAGATTAACAACTTCCATAACGATAATGTCTACAAAAAGAAAACTTTGCTAGAGAAGTTTGTATGTTTGTCTGTATTATGTATGTCTATATGTATGTTTGTATGTATGTGAGTGTATGTATGTGAGTGTATGTATGTGAGTGTATGTACCATGCAGATGGCGTGAGAGCGTATTTGAATCAATGGTTCGGCTGAAATCCGAAGAACTTACTCACCAGCAAGAGGTCAAGCAACTTAACCTCAAGGTCATTTGTTATAATTAAAATTATAATTACGATTATAATTAAGATTATAATTATGATTATAATTGTGGTTATATTATGTTGTAGGTTAAAGAAATAAAATCCCTAAATGAGAAATTATTGTCTGACAAAGTTTCACGCGATAAAATCATACAGACGCAATCCATTGAAATCAGCCATCTGAACAAACAACTTAAGGTTATTCTCTTTTTTTAGTAATCCTTACTTGGGGATGGTCCTAATTTGCATAATTTATTTATCTTTGTGAGTGAGATGTGCCGATTTGCATGATGTATTGTTCGTCTTTATGATGATGATGTATACTAATTTGTATAATTTATTAATTTATTCATAATAAATTCGAAGTTTTACCTCGATTTCATACAAAATCTAATACACACACACAGGCTGGTGTAGGCAGCAATGTACATCATGAATGTCGGCTTTGTCAAGTGTACAAAAACCACATACATCACATGTACAAGTTAGTTGATGTAATGTAGTAATGTAATGTGATGTGATCACATGACGACCACTACAATAATGGCCATCTCATTACTTTTAAATGAGGGATACTTTAAAGACTCGTCGAAAAATCCAAATTAGGAATTTAGACAGTACTCTGACCTCGTCTCTGATTGGCTGGTCATCAACCCTGACCCAGAAATTCAACCAGTTAGATCGAAGGTTACAGACGGCCAATAGGGATGTGCTAAATTTCAAAAGTTCGATCTTTTACGTTTAAAAGTTTATGATTCGTTATATTTAAGTTATATATATATATATATATATATATATATATATATATATGAAAAAACACATTCATTAAATTAAACAATTTATTTTAATTTGTTTGAAAACAGAAAAATTGAACCTACAGATGAACAAGAATCTTCTGACAGATGTGGAGCGTTTAACAAGCATCATTCTCAACCCAGAGCTGAACTTTGTATAAAATCAAAATTTTATATGTATATACATACTCGTGTGTGTGTGTATGTGTGTGTGTGTGAGTGTGTGTGAGTATGATGAGTAGAATATTGCTCAACAAAAGCAGAGTCTTAATGTTATATTTTAATATCATTGTCATTTTTCGCAAATAATCGGAATGGTAGTAATGCATAAACGAAGGAATAGATAATGTATGAATAAATGAATGAATGGATGGATAAATTAAATGAATGGATGAATTAAATGAATGGATGAATTAAATGAATGGATGAATTATGGAATCAAATCGTACAAGATTAAACTAAGAAGAACTCGTATATGAACATTGTAGAAATTTAATTTAAAATGGAAATCACAGAACTATATACTTTAAGCGGGGAAAAATGACTGACTGACCCAATCCTTCTAGCAAAATTTGATCGCACACAAATACAAGTCAAGGATTTCTATAACAATAATACTTGTTGCAATCATTAATGATTTATTCCTGGTCCTATCTGCTTAATCAAAACGGTTCGAATTGTAAACGTCTTAACTGAAAAATTGATTGAAGTGAATACAGAAGAAATAGAAGACATCGCAATGATAAACACAATCACACATACATAGGCACGCACACACGTACACACACACGCGCGAAGGTACACACGCACGCACACACGTACACTAACAAGATTCGAATTTTTTTTCATCCTGCTACCAAAAATTAAAAACCAAATTTCACTTTGTCAACGAAACCAAACCACAATCAGATCAAACGACAAACTTGAACCCCCGTTCAACTCTACAGTCATTCAAAAATGGACTCTCCCTAATTAGAATTATCATCTCTCATTTACATCACAATTGCTCAACATTATCATGATTCACAACAATATCACTAGAAAAATCTTTATTCACCATCCTCTCCAGAGGCGATACCACTTTAAATGACTGAGGTGTGATCAACTCTTTGCCATATTTCAATTCATCAGCGTACTGTTGGTAGATCCTAATTGATTTTTTTGGTGGCCGTTCAGGTCCTACCTTACCACAATTCACGTACTTCCGGTATATATCTAATGATCTATCAGACGGTTGGTTTATAGTTACTGATCTGCATGTATTTAGGTATAATGGATCGATAAGGAAAGTCGTGTCCTGTATTGTCGATGGCGTCACGGATGATGATGCCACAGGCGACGCTACTGCAGATGCAAGGTGTGGTGAAGTCGTTGTCGCTACGTCATTAACAGCAGCTGTGGTCGCTTTCTTCATTTCCCTAATTAGAGATTGAGAGGTTCTGAACTCAGATGTCCTCCCAAACGAGGCGTACCTGCCGAAAAAATTAGTTTGCCAACACATACTCAGACACACACACACGCATACACATTACACACACACACACACACACACACACATACAAACCTTTTATAAATCTCCATACTTCTAGCATTAGGGGAGTCCACGTCGACCCCATACTTTTTCCTAAACTCCTCTTTAAAGGACGTTCCCCCAAAAAGAGACCCCGCCACGCCCCGGCCCCCCTCACCAATGTGGCAGCTGTGGTGGTGGTGGTGAGAGGACGACGTAGAGAAAGACGGCGACGAATCAGGATCATTATCAGTAGCACAACTAACATAATCTTTAATCAGCGATAATTCTAGCCCCTTTTCACTGTGAATGGCGCAATTTTTTCTATCCAAACCACAGGTCGATACATGCACATTGTCACCACCATTCGTGACGTCATTATTTCCACTCAATTTATTCATACCCTTCGCGCCCCTTTTGAGATGGGCGCCTAAAGTGACGATGACGTCATTATTTTCGTCGCCCCAATCGACCTCTGACCCATCGCTTTCGCTTAGGCTGCCCTCTGAGCCGTTTGAAGTGAAGGAAGATGTAGAGTCTTGACCGGATATGTTCGGGTTCGATTCCCTGGTCGGCCTGTGGGGTTGGTTGGTCGGTCAGTTGTTGGTAGGTTGGTCAGTTGTTGGTAGGTTGATCAGTTGTTGGTTGGTCAGTTGTTGGCTGGTTGGTTAGTTGTTGGTTAGTTGATTGGTCAGTTGTTGGTTGGTCAGTTGTTGGTTGGTTGATTGGTCGTTTGTTGGTTGGTAGGTCAGTCGTATGTAAGACTGATTGAAATGTCTTTTGGTTGGCTGGTCAGTTTGTTGATTGATTAGTTGAATGATTGGTTGGTAACAATGAAAAATATAACATCACGCAACATACATACCCAGTAGCTTTCTTCCCACTAGAAGTGTACATGCGAGTACAAAATGGGCTGATGTCACTCGAAGACTTTGGCATGAAATCTCTTAAAAATTATAAATAATTATTAATTAAATATTACTATAAATTATTTATTATAACTACGATAATTATTATGTGTTAATTATTTAATATAATTATGAATTAATAATATGTAGGTAGGGAATTGCAAAAACACGTTACAAAATTACATACAAACTCATACAAAACCATACAAATTCATACAAAACCCATACAAATTTGTACAAAACCCATACAAAACCCATAAAAATTTATACAAAACCCATAAAAATTCGTACAAAACCCATACAAAGCCCATACAAATTCATACAAAACCCATACAAACTCATACAAAGTACATACTAAATAATACAAATAGATACAAACCGACGCAAAACACACGCGAAAAACAAACAACAATACATACAAAACCCATTTATAGATATCATACAGGACATAAAAGCCCATAGAAAATGATACAAAAAGAAAGAAAGGCCACCAACTTTAGAGAGTGAGACATGTTCATGGCAAAAAGGTCGTCAAACGAAGTCATCTCATGTGGCTTATACAAATCGTCGAGTAGGTTCACCTGCTCGCTGCTTCTTTCATGATACTCAACAGCCAGATGTTCATCTAAAATGCCTTTGCTCTCTGTTAAAATTATTATCTATTTATTTTTATCTATTTATTTTTATTTATTTATTTATTTTTATTTATTTATAATGATTCACAATTTATATTTATTTATTTTAGAACTTCAGAATTATATTCAGGAATGTGGATATAAACCAGCCAGCCAACCAACCAACTAACCAACCAGCCAACCAACCAATCAACCAATCAACCAACCAACCAACCAACCAACCAACCATCTTCATAGGAATAAGGAAGGCAGTCTAATATACGCTGGTCCCACCACTGACAATAACTGTAAACCAATAGAAAAATATCAATCAACCAACCAGAAAACCAACAAATCAGGCAGCCAATCAATCAACCAACCAATCAACCAACAAACCAGGCAACCAATCAATCAACCAACCAATCAACCAACCAATCAATCAACCAACCAATCAATCAATCAAGAACCAACCAGCCCACCAATCGAACCTTCTCCTATTTAGCTTGCCTAGATCAAGAGCTGCTTCGTTGTGTATGTAGTAATCACTAGATAGCTCCCAGATCTGTTTGCTGCCACTGGCTTGCGATGGGGAAGATCGGGACGATGGAATGAACACGCCAAGAAAGATATTCATGGCGTTTTGTTTCTCCGAGTCTAGTGTCAATATGAAAAATGAAATGATGATGATCGTTTCACTCATTCAATCTTTTATTCATTCATTCACTCATTCATTCACTCACTCACTCATTCATTCATTCATTCATTCAATCATTCACTCACTCATTCATTCAAACGACCAGCCAGCCAGCCAGCCAACCTGAAAACGTATTACTGTAATATCTAGAGAGGGTCTGCATGATGTCCCTAGAGCTTGACGTCCATGCGGTCAACTTCCGGTACCCTCGAATCCGGTGGACCAGCTGGGACCCCCCGTACTGGAGGGCCAACGTGTCACCCTGATCCTCAAATAGATCCTCCATCATTCTTTGAGAAGTTGAATGAATGAGTAGACGATCAGTCAATCAATCATTTATCTATTTATATAATTTATCTATTTAACTATTTACTTCACCACCAATCCATTCATTCGTCCATCAACACATTCATTCATTCATTCATTCATTCATTCATTCATTCACTCAATTAATTCATTCATTCATCCAGACAAACCTCATACAATCGGAATCATAATCCAACGAAAAGTTATCTATGACTCCAAGTGAGTAGAGCTGAATGAATGAATGACTGAATGAATGAATGAATGACTGAATGACAGAATGAAAGAAAGAACGAATGAATGAATTGATAAAGAAAAAAATGAATGAATGAACGAACGAACGATCGAATGAACGAACGAATAAAATGAACGAGTAACTTGTTTAATTAGGGCGCATTTGGCAATGGCATATTGTGCGGTGTTCGTCCGGTCCAGACAGTCTATGCAGTTGGTTCGAACGACGCCATTCTGACGTCTGCCCGCCTCCTCGTGTGACGCTAACACGTCCAGTGGACAGCTGCTTGTGGCGGCCACAATGAAGATTATGACGACAACGATGATGAAAATGATGATGAAGATGATGATAATGAAGATGATGATGAGGAAGATAATAAAGATGATAATGAAGTTGATGATGATGAAGATAATGATGAAGATGATGATGAGGATGATGATGAAGATGATGAGGAAGATGATGAAGATGAGGATGATAATGAAGATGATGATGAAGAGGATAATGAAGATAATGATGAGGATGAGGATGATGATGAAGATGATGATAATGAAGATGATGATGAGGAAGATAATAAAGATGATAATGAAGTTGATGATGATGAAGATGATGATGAAGATGATGATGAGGATGATGATGAAGA